GTTTCCCGCAGCCCAGGCCTCCTGCCCTTATTGGTCCCCAAATATGGCTTCCTTGGGTGACCCTGTTTTCAGACTTTATTCACCCTGTTCCCCACCAAGAACACCTCCCTGCTTCCCTCCACCATAAACATTCACATCTTTGCTCTGCTGTGCTGTGCTGTTCCCTCTTCCTGGACGAGATTCGTCCCCTGTCCACTGAGCACACTCCTATACATCCTTCAAAGTCCCACTTGGAATGTCACTTACTGGGTGAATCCATCTCTAGGATTACTTCTACCAGGCAGAAGTAAGCTCACTCCTCACTCTGCACATCCAGAGGCAGAACAGTGGGTTGAAGAGATGGGGTTGGCCCTGAAGATCTGTGTAGGGGATGTTTATGGGCTTGGGGGCTGCAACCCACCATTTGAAACGAGGGACAGGGGACTTTTCTGAAAACTCCAATTACATGGTGAATGCTTGGGTTTACATTATATTTTGTGTTTATTTTGAGGAGAAGAGCATAGACATCAGATTCAGACAATGTGGCTCTCACCCTTTCTACTGTGTGCCTTTGGGTGAGTGTTACAGCTTCTTGGGGCCTCAGTTTCCTTGTCTGTAAAATGGATGCACTGCAGGGGGTTATGAGGACTCAGTTAGAGCCTGAACATTTATGGCCCAAATTCTCATTTTATTGAACAGTACAGACTAATTTGGCTCAAAGGATTTTTGCTCACTTCTCAGTCTCCCCACTGCACTAGAAGTTCCTTTATAGCAAGAGTTGTCTCTATCTACAAAATGGGGGTAATAATAGGACAGACCTCATTTGTTTACAGTGAGGATTAAATGACTTAACTCATGTAACATGCTTAGAAGAGTTCCCTGCACTACTCAGTGTTCAGTATTATAATTCTTACTGCATACTCTATCGTGTAATACTTAACAATAGCCTTGTGTTTTTGGAGCTATTGTTATCCCACTTTACAGGTGGGAAAAGTGAGGCTCAGAACATGTAGGGGCTTCCTTGCCAAGGTCACACAGTGAGCAAGTATCAGAATCTAGATTTGAATCTGGATTGGGCAGAGTCTTAACTGCAGGTCAGGATGTGACAGTTCTGGACAGACTGATCAAATGTCCAGCCCAGGACTTCCTGATACAGCTTATTTGCATATGTCCACAACCCTTACTGTGTCCCTATAGCACATAGGCCTATGCTCCCTCTGGACTCAGCAACTGATGACAGCGTGGGGCACCGGCCGACGGAGGCTCATAGCTACATCACTCTGAGAACAAGATTCCACTTGAGGTGGGGGAGACAGGGTGACGGCCTGGGTGAGGTCTTTGTCCACACTGACCCAGGGTGATGGTCATTTGGACCCTCCTCACATCTCCACTCAGCTTCCCAGCCCAGAGCACCTGGCTGGAGAGACTCTATCTACCCCAAATGTCCTATAGTGAGTGCCAGGACAAGGGTCCTAGAAAGTTTGCCCCAGAATGTGCTTCCCTACAGCTCTGAAGGCCAGGCCTCACTCACACCACCGCCCACTACATACTCTGATGCAACAGCCTAATGGGGGCCCCCAGTTCTGTTGGGGAGAGCCCTTGGAGCAACAGAGGACCAGGGAGGCAAGGACACATGGGGTTCCCCTGTGGCTACTGGATTCTTCCAAATCATACAGCTAGCTCCCAGAACCAATGGGAACCTCTTTCTCTGGCCCGCTGGGGTCTTGGCCAACAAGCAGCCAGTGTCCTTGGATGTCCTGCTGAGGACCTGGTCCCACCCATGTGTCCCATTAGCTCCAGAGAGAATGGCAAGGGTGGTCCAGATGGCCAGGATCCCAGGAGGGAAAAGCTAGGCTGGGGCCCAGCCAGCTCTGGGTTTGGGGGAGGCTACAGGTAGAGAGAGGGGTGGCAGAGATCAGAGGCAGGGGCATGGAAGAAATGATTTCTTGAATCTCTTCAGGCTCCAATCCAGCCTGCCCTCTTCAGTCCAGGCTTGGAGAACCGGACACTTGAATCCGGTGGACACTCTGGCGTGACCAGGGCTGTAGAGAGAAGGATCCTGTGGACAGGGAAGCAGTGGTCAGCGGGGCACATTCAGGACCTCAGCTTCAGCAAACGGCTCAGGACCGCGCTGAGCCTGGCCAAGTGCGGCGCCGCCGCAGCGCCCTCTGTTGGCCAGAGGCGGAGGCCGTCTGTTCACAGCTCTGCAATGGTTGGGGGATAGGGGCTGTGGGAGGGACTCAGGACCAATACAAGGTCCCTAGTGTCCCAGGAGTCAGCGCCCATTGAGGTGATCATCCGAGCTGGGAGACCCTTGGAGGCTCCTACTTCAATCCCTATTTTGTTGCTGGGAAAACTGAAGCCAACGGAGGGGAGATGGCTGGCCCCCAGGGGGCTGGGGCCATGGGGCTGGCTAAGTCCCTGTGGGGGTGCCATGGAATGTCCGGGGATTTCCCCAGTCACCCCAACGATGCACCTCACCAGCTGCTCCAAATCAACCTACTTCCAGGGCACTCCAAGCTGGTCTCCCAGCGCCACCTCTGCCTCCCACCCCTTCTACCCAGAACCCTCTTATAACAATTCTAGAACCTTCCTGTCTCCCCACCAACCCCCTCCTCTGCCACCATACCCTGTAGTCTTCTTCAGCCCCCTCAGCCCCCCGCCTCAAGAGACTACCCGTGCTCCCTGACAACCAATTTCCGACATAAAGCCGCCTGCTTTTCTCTCATATTTTTTCCCCCAGGAAATGAAAACTTTGATTTCTTTCTTTTCTTTTTTTATTATCTTTATTGGATTTTCTTTTTAATTACAAATCACAGTACTACATGTTCTTTGTAACAGCTAAACAAGCCAGAGGTATCTAAAGAAAAAGTTGATAATCTCCTCTCTCCCTTTGCAGCCCCACACCCCCGAGATCACTAATGAGCCGCAGGAGTGTTGTTTATCCTTATTTCTCTAAGGTTGTCCACCCAACAATAGGAAGAATTGCAACCTACTACGTGTTGGGCCCTGTGCTGAGCCTGGGTTGCTGGGGAAAATAAGGCCACGATGGCAGCCGCCCTTATGGGGCTTACATTCCAGTAAAGGGAGGAGAGGCAATAGGGAGTAAATAAGAATAGTTCAGACAGTGATGAATTCTTTGGGGTGGGGGGAACGGTGGGGTGATGGGCTGAGAGTGATGGGTTGTGAGGCAGGGACCAGGCTGCCAGGGAAGGGCTCTCTGAGGAGGGACAGTTGAGTTGATGTCCAGTAGAGGGCGTTGTAGGCCACTGTGAAGCGTTTGAACGTTATTCTAAAGGCACCGAAACTGAGCATACGAAGGGGTGGCACAGGGACCCCTTAGGTGTTCACTGGGTGGAGAATGAATTGAAGGTGGGCCAGTATAACTGCCTGGAGACAGAGAGAGAGAGAGAGAGAGACAGAGAGAGACAGAGACAGAGAGTCCTTCTTCTTATATAAAAATGGGCTCAGACTACATAAATCACTCTGCCCTTGTATTTTTTCCTTCCAGGGCTTCCATGTCAGAAAATGCATCCCCAGTTCCAAAGGGGAAGCAGTTCACACTCTGGGCAGCCAGCACCCCACAGCCACCGCCACAGCCCTGGCTGTTAATCAATCTTTTAATTTTTCCAACCCAGAGGGTAAAAAATACATCACAGCAATCAGAGGAGCAACATTAATAAAGTAGTATTGGCTGATAACCCAAAATACAGAATAAATATCCATGAGTACATATGGATTGAAATAAATTATTGAATAAATTAATAAATGGGGGAGAAGAGAGAGATCTCCAGTGCAGAAGAATTCCAAGAAAATGATGTAGCTACTTCATCTTAAAAGAAGGGGCATATAATCCCCCATGCCTTAACGGCAGGCTGCACAGAACCACTTCCTTCTAAACAGTCTGGTATGGAAAGAGGCAGGCTAGGGAATAGGGGATAATTTTACAGGGAAAAAGCTTGACAAACACGGCTTGAGTCAGGCGATCAAGGTCAACATCAGCTGTCACAAGTCATGTTGACAGTAGGTACCCTTGGCATGTGTGATGAGAATGGCACTTTACCTCTGCGGTCATCCTCCCTGAAATTCACAGCCCCAGTCAATGAGAAAAAGATCAGACAAATGCCAGTAGAGGGGCATTTACAAAAAATCTGACCAGTATGCCTCCAACTGTCAAGTCATCAAAAACAAGAAGAGTTTAGAGGGGTGGGTATAGCTCAGCGGTAGAGTGTGTTCTTAGCATGCCTGAGGATTCCCCAGTCACTATTTAAAAAAAAATAGTCCAGATGAACAAGTTTAATTGTCATAGAAATATGTTTCTTTTTAAGGCTTTTCTTCCATTAAAAAGGGATTTTAAAAAAACAAGACAAGTTTGAGGAAAGGTCACAGCCAAAAAGACTAAATGCAATGAAGCATCTTGGATGGGTTCCTGGATCAGAAAAAGGATATTAGGTAAAAACTTGAAAATTTGAATAAACTGTGGACTTTAGTTAATAATAGTATGTTGGGGGGAGGGTATATCTCAGTGGTACAGTGTGTGCTTAACATGCAGGAGGTCCTGGGTTCAATTCCCAGTACCTCCATTAAGTAAATAAATAAATAAACCTAATCACTCCCCCCCAAATAATAATGTATCAATATTGTTTCTTTAATTGTAACAAATGTACCATACTAATGCAAGTTGTTAATAATAGGGGAAACTGTATGGGGTAGGAGGTGGTCTATGGGAACTTGCTCAATTTTTTTCTGTAAGTCTAAAATTGTTCTGAAAAAATAAAGTCTATTTATTTTTATAATTAAAAAATATATATCTCATTGTTGTTTTAAATTGTGTTTTAATTGTTTTAAATGTTTCCCTGACGTCTGCTTACGCTGAGTCTCTTCTCACATCCATGTTCTGTCAACTGCTTGTTCATACTTCTGCCCATTCTTTATTTTTTGCTTTTTTTCTTACTGGCTTACAAATTTTTTTCATAGTAAGGATACCAACCATTTGTCTATTATTACACATGCTACAACAATTTTTTGCAGTCTGTTGTTGTTGGCTATTTTATTTTATTTATGGGAACTTACATCACTCAGAAATCTTTTTTTCCATAACCGAATCTTTCTTTTGTATGGCTTCTGGGTTTCCTGCCTCCACAAGTTTCAATAATTATTCTTCTAAATTTTCTTCTAATATTTTTAGCTCTTATTTTTCACTCTAAAATTTTAATCCATTGGGGATCTATCGTGTAGGTGGTGTCAGGTAGGAGTGGAGGATTTGACTTTATTTTCTTCCAGATGGATCACTGATATGGCAGCAACTTTTATTAAATAAATCAACTTTCTCCCTAAATTGACATTCCCCTTTGACAGAAACTAGATCCGTAAATCTTCTCCTGAGAGACTGTTCTCCGTGGTTCTCCATGCTGTCATCAACATCCAGCTCAAAAGCCCCCACACACCTTCTCCTTAAAGGCTGTCATCCCCGCCCCATTCTTTCCAGCTGGAAACCTTTTCCCCACCTGGCCTCCCATGGAATTCATTCATTCAATTGCACGCACATTTACTGAGCTCCTCCTGAGTGTCAGGTGCTGGACCAAAGAAGACTGTCCCTGGCTTCTAGGAGTTCACGGTCTGGGGAGAAAGGGGAGGAGAACAACGTGGGGACAAGTGACTCTGGGGGTACAATGGTGGGAGAGACAGCAATTCCATTTCAGAAAAGCTTCAGGAAGGAAGTGATGGCTGAGCTGGTGAAGTGTCTAATGGTGAACAGGTGTTTGCCAGACAGCCAAGGTGGAAGGTGGGCAGGGAGGCAGGAATAGCATGTGTAAAGGCACTGAGGCACGACAAAGCCTGGTGTGTTTGGGGAGCTGCAGATGATTCAGAAGCCCCAGAAAAGGGATGCAGGTAGGGAAGAGAATGAGAGGGGCAGGCTGGCAAGGCAAGCAGAGCCAAAGGACCTGGAAGGGGGCCGCAGAGTCTGCCCTCTCTCCTGAGAAGCCCAGTGTTGCAGTGAGTGTGCCATCTCTCACCTCCTAGCTCCACAGTCCACCTGGGCTATCCTTGACTTAGTTCTTTTCTTTCAGTTGGCTACTTTTTTCCCCTATAAAATGAATTCATTTTAAAGGGACACTTTGTATCACTTCCATAAATGGGAAACCAGTATCCCTTGCTAAAAATAAAAGAAAATAGAAGAAAAGCCTTAAAAAGAAACATATTTCTATGACAATTAAACTTGTTCATCTGGACTTTTTTTTTTAAAGGAATCTCCCAGCCAACACAACAAATACCTCACTTCAGGACACGCTGGTGTGGTGGGCAAAAGCGTGCACTCTGGAACCCGAGCCACCTGCATCCAAATCCTAACTCTGAAGAGCACCAGCTGTGAACGTTTGGGGCCATCACCTTATTACCTCCTGAAGCCTCAGTTTTGTTGTACAATTAAATGAGAAAATTTGGATACCATTTAGTGAGTGTAAACAAGATGCCTTGACTAGTTTGGGGCTGTGGGAAGTCTTCCAAGAATTTGAAAAGGAGAGGGACACCATCTAGTTTGCATCTTAGGCATCAGTCTCCCTCTGGCTGTGTGGGTGGGTAAGGAATGGCTGGGAGAGACTAGTCCTGGCTGTTGTGGTCCCGGTGAGCAATGACGGAGTCCCGAAGCCTGCAGTAGGATGGAGTAGGAAAAGAGACTGGAGGCAAGACTGGCACCAAGATTCTAATGAGGTGGATAGTGGGGCCCTTCAAGGAGTGGGGAACACAGGAGGCCTCGAGTCTGTGGGTCAGGATGTGATGAGTATGAATTTGCGTACCTTGAGTTGGTGGAGTCTGTTGAATCCCGTGTTTAGAGTTGGTTGACTTCGGGCCTGGTGATCAGGAGTGAGTAGGTTATGCCTTTGGGCTCAGGTCAGACCTCCTGCTGCCGCCCCCCACCCCCCTAAGCCTGCAAGGGTCGGGGCAGGGCAGGCCAGTGCCGAGTCTGCGTGAGTGTGGCAGCTATGGTGGTCCAGGGCAGAACACCAGTCAGAAAAGCGTCTCCAGCGGCATCCTTCCTGCTGCCTCTCCATGTCTTCTGCTGGTCAGTTAGGCCTCCATGGCTGCAGCTCACCCCTCCTGGGCATCACTGGGATTGAAGCCCCTTTCAGGTTGTGGCCATTCAGAGGCTCATTCTCCCCATGTACATTGAAATACTGGGGGGCTGGGGCACCAAAGGGGAAAATTGATGACCCCAAATGGGGTAGAGGGAGAAAAGACTAAGGAAGTCTTCCTCCTGAACTCTCTGGGGTCTCATCTGGTTACCACCCCAACCTTGCCCCTTTCTCAGGGCCCCTCCTTCCCAGGGTCCCATCTCAGATCAGATCTGGAATCAGAAGGTCTTGATTCCATCCCCTCAACAGAAGCCCAAGTCAGTGCAGCTCTGAGAAGCCCTCCAACCTCCCGGATTCCCCTGACGGTGTCTGCTCCCCATGCTACTCTCTGCCCTCACCTATCCCAACAGTGCGAGACTGGGAAGAGAGAGGAGTTCCTCCAGTGGAGGTCGCGGTTGTCCTTCCCTCCGCCGCCAGGCGTCACCACCGGCTTGGAAATGGAAGGCTCAGCCAGGCCGTCAGCCCAGCCAGCCTTTATGGGGAGGTGGGGGTACCCTGCGGGATGGAAGCCTCGACCCTCGGGGTGGCTGCCACTTTATGCTTGGGACTCAGTGTCCCTCGGGGGTCCGGAGGGCCGTGCGCCCCTGAATTCGGGTGAGTGCGGCCGGGAGTGGAGGCAAACCCGAGGGCCAGGGTGCAGGTGAGCGTGGCAACCCCGGGTCGCCCGGCCTCTACCTCCCCCAGGCATCCCTTCTGAGAAGAGGAAGCGGAAATTTCTCACTACAGACGTTATACAGACCCTTTCACAAATAAAGCGTCTGAGGCTCCGTTTCCATGCCCCAGGTGGCATGAACCCCTCTCCCCTCTCTCAGTTGAGGCGGTTTCCACACGGAGCTGCCTCCCTGCAAGCTCCTGGCCCCAACGGCGACGTGTGAAAATCGGGTTGAATGAACAGCTGAATGTGCACATAACAATAGGCGGCATTTACTGAGCACGTACTATGTGCCAGACGATTTTCTCAACAAGCCTGTACTCGGATACTGTTATTATACCCATGGCGGTGGTGGTGGGGTGGAGGAGCAGGCACAAAGAGGTGAAGTCATTTGCCCAAGACACGGTGGCGAATCCCAGATTGGGACCCAGGCGATCTGGCTCCAGAGCTCGATGGTGCAACACCGCCTCTGAACGGCACACGCCTTTCGCTGTCTCAGGGGGTCGTCATCAAGTGCCTCGGCGCCGGCGCAGGCCGAGCGAGGACGGG